CCTCCTAAAGGCACTTTTGATGATCCAGTAACAAATTGTAATAATAAAACTTTTTGTCTTTGTTCCATTTCATTAAACACTTCCCAGAACCATTGAATAACAGGGCTTTGAAGAGTGTACCCTCGATATTCAGTATTTGCCATAAAATCTTCAGTATCTATATCAGGCATTCCAGAAATAAGAAGTTCTAACTCTGTGTCATAGAAACAATTAATCATTTCAAAAGGAATAATAGAATAGAATCCTTCTTTGAATAAGTCTATCTGTTTTTTAACAGATTTATTTAATTTATAATCAACTAATAGTTTTACATAAAGTTGTTTATTTTTATCAGTAACATCAATATTTCTTCCATTAGGAATTAAGTCATCAATAATTGTTTTTCCAAATTCTTCTCTTTCATAACAAAACTTCATTTCTAATCCTTCAACACTATTTTCTAATAACCATTTAAGATTTTTGTAAAATTGTTGGTCTACACTTTCCATATCATTTAAAGTAACTTCTTGTTGTAATAATGCTTTGTACATACTTTTTGTAAAATTAACATCAAGGAACTCTCCATCATAAACAGTTTTTGCTACAACCCTTCCAATAAATTTATATAATTCAATATCTCCAAATACTGCTGACATTGGGTTTGGTTGGAATTGACCATCATCTGTTGGCATAAACAATAAATAATCAGCATTGAACATTGAAGTAGCAATAACCCGAAGCCATTCTTTTCTCAATCCACCCATATCAATTCCTTGTTCTCCAACAAATTTAACTTTTAATTTTCCTTTTAAATCATCATTTGTGGCAAACATTAATTGAGAATAACTTTCTTGGAAAATATTATTTCTATGAACTGAAATATAAAATCCTCTTCTTGAGTGTTTTCTTTGCTCTTTCTTTATTTGTTTTCTAAAAACTTGTGCTTTAGCTTCAAATGTCAAATATTTGGGATATCTAGATAATAAATTGAAGGATGTTTTTAGTAATTTTGGTTCTATTCGAATAATTTTTTCTACCATCTCTTTGTATTTATCCAAAAACATATCAATTGATTTGAAAGTTTTTAATAAATCTGGTTGAGCTGCAATACAGAAATTCAAATAGCAATAAACTATTTCTAGTAATACTTTTCTCATATTTTTATACTTTTTAATTAATCCATCTAATGTTTTTAATGATTGCTCTGTAAACAACTCCGTAAAGGAATTAATTAATGGAAGGCTATTTTTAATATTCTGATCAATCGTTACATTTATACATAAACAAAAAGATAAAATGATGTCAAGATCTTCATGTGTAAACATTCCCTTTAACAAGAAATTATATTGGTCAATAATTGTTGATTTGATAGTATCAATCATCCCTGGGTTAGTAAATAATAATAAAACAGTTTGTCTGATAGCGCCCTCAGAAAATATGCCATACTGTTTGTTTAATGCATTAACTAATCGTGCAAATGCAGTTTTTTTAAATATAACATAATGTGTTAGTTGTGTTGATGTGTTAGTGATAATCAATAATTCACTAAAAGTGGCAGCAATTAAATGTTGAATAAAGATAGGTAATTCAGTCTTTTCTTCAAAAATATGTGCTACAATTGGTTGGATTAAATAGACAAAGTCAGTTGATATGATAGAATATTTTTTTCGATGATACAGAGTTAATAGCACTAATTTTAAAACTTTTTCTAATGAAATTATATCAACATCTTTTTCTTCAATGCATGGTAAAATTATGTGTTGATAAATTAGTGTAACAATTTCAAAATACTTCATAGACCGTTGCGAGTTGTAGTGATTCATTAAACATACTAACTTGTTTAATGCAATATTTGAAATAACATAATTATTAGCTATAAATAACTTCGTTAATGGAACAATAGCCTCAATATCATAACTTACTTCAACTTCTTCGTCTGGCACTTTAAACACATTGTAGTGATCATTGTAATCTTCGCTATCCAAATCGCCATCACCAGAATCATCAGGGGTCATGCCTCTATCAGTAAATGGTCCATACCTTGAACCTTCTCTTTGTAACTCTCTTGCCTCTGTGCGAAGGTCCTCAGGTAATAACTGTAACATTGACTCATCAGCGTTTCTAAGAATGTCCTCCCTTAATACAGGATCTAAATCATAAATAAAATCGATTGTATTGTCTTGGTGTTGTTGTGTAGTTGATTGAGGTTGTTGGTTTGTTACATTATTTTGGTTTTGTGACTCTGGGTGTTGTTGGTTATATTCATCAATAATTTCTTCTTGAAGGTTAGTAGGAAGTGAGAAGAATGTATCTGGGTCAATGTCAGGAGGCAGTGGTCTTCCATTAAACAAACGTTCATTTTGTTCTTGTGCCTGTTCATTTTGTTGAGCTTCTTCATTCTGTTCTTGTGTTTGTTGGTTTTGATGAATTTCTTCAGTTTGTTCTTGTGTTTGTTCTTGTGTTTGTTCTTGTGTTTGTTCATTTGTTTGTTCATTTGTTTGTTCATTTGTTTGTTCATTTGTTTGTTCATTTGTTTGTTCATTTGTTTCTTGGGTTTCATTAGAACTAAACAAATCAGTACCAGGCATTATAAAATCTTCCTGGGTAGATTGTTGTGATGTTTCGTCTTGGTTTGGTTGTTCTTGAGAATTTGACACTTGGCTCTCTTCAGTTGATTGTTCGTTTTGATTAACCTCCATTTGATTTGGATATTCTTGTTGATTAGTAATACGAGAGCGTATACCAATTTGTGAATCATTTGGTATATTTTGGTGTTCTTCTTGATCAAAACCAGATAAGTACATGAAGTCATCGTGTTGTGATAATCCGTCATCATCTCTATGTTCTCTTAAGCCTAGGACTTGTTGGGCAATACTTACTAGTGTTCTACCTAGTCTTTGACTATGATTATCATTATTTACTCTAGACCTATAACGATTTAAATTTTCATGTTGCTCATAGTCTTCACTACTATTATCATCTCTGTCATGATTTTCCATATGATTTGGTTGTCTGAATAATCCCACGGATTCATCAATAGAAGTTTGTTCACGCCGCTCGCTTGTCAAATCAAACAAATTTTCCAATCCGAAATCATTGGTTTCATTTTCTTGCTTTTCATCGTTAGATTCAGTAGATGCGTTTTGTTGGTGTTTGATAACTTTAACAACTGTACCATTTAGTAAATTACTTTGTTGTTCTTGAATATATTCTTGGGCGGTTTTAATAACTTCTGTTTTGGTAGTTTTGAATTTCATTAAAAATGGAATCATAACTTTAAAGTCTTCTTTTACACATTCTATTGGAATATTTTTAATAACCCTTTGTTCTTTACAACTTTGAATAAGCGCTTCATTTAAACTTCCTTTTATATCTTTCATTTCACTAATAACATTGAATGAATTTAACAACTGGTCTGTTTCTTTAACAGTTGAAGTAATTACGATATATGGACTTAATCTAATCTTCATGACTCTTTTTATTAGTTCGTAAATTTCATTTTCTTTCATTTGGCTAAGTCTAGATACAACATTAAAATAAACTATATCAAAATATGCCTCTCTAACATTCATTATTTCTATGTATTTTTCCATTTGGAATTGACCTCTTTGAATAGTTTGGTCAATGTTTTCGATTCTTTCAATAATTTTTTCCACAGTAACTATTGACATGATTGGTATACTAGATTCTGATTTATGGCTTAGTACAGGATTCTTGTCATATGATTCGTTATGGAAAATTCGAATTAACAAGAGAGGGTCTTGTCCAATACTATTTTCAATACTTTGAATAAATTTCATAGCATCAAACCTCCATTCATTTGGTTCTTGTAATATTTTGATTAATCGTAACATTATATTCATTTGATGATATGAATTTTCATTTTGATATTCTAAATGTTCAATACCATATTCAACAATTTCAATAATTATTGGTTTATAAACATCAAAATTAATATTATTATTTTTCAAAACATTAAAGATACTTTCAAATACTTCTCTTTCTACTTGTTGATGTTGATTGAATTCTTTTTTAATTAAACAAATTAAATCAGACAATTTTGAATAGTCTTCAGTTTTATTGTTACATAATTTTTTGATAATAGTTAAAGCACCATCAGTAATATGATTACTAGAAAGAATCATATCGTAGAGTGTATTTATATTATCTAAGTACAATAAAATATCAGCATATGCAGATGATAACATAATGTTTGAAAGAATAGTATCATATGAAAATGATTCAATTTGTTGTTTAAGATAATCAAAATAATTCTTTTGAATTTTCACAGTGAATTGTACAAATGGTTCAGGTCTTTCTTGGAATTTATTGGGGAAAGGAGATTTAAAAATAATTAGTAATGCAAGATTAATCCATGATGAATAACAATTAATTGGTAATGTGAATTTCAAAGGAGAAGCCAAAATATCAAATAACTTTCTATATAACTTAAATGACTCTCCATACAATGATTTTTCATTAAGAATTTTAGGAATTAAAAAGTCATAAAAGAGTTTTAAAGGAACAAATGCTAATTCATCATGTTCTTTTGAATAGTGTTGTAATAAAAGTATATAATAATCAACTATATTATCGATATAAGTTTTAAGATTTGATTTCTTAAATGTTATAAAATCGTTATTGTTAATAAACCACAATAAACCAATACTCAATTCTTTTTCAAATTCTTGAGATTTTAAAGATGGTAATAATACAATTGAACAAAAATCATTTAAAATGTATGTTGAATCTGCCAGAAGATATAAAATATAATCAAAAATTGCAATAACACGATATCTTTTATCAATAGTATTAGTAGTAGTAAATCTAAATAGTTGTGAATTAAAATTTGGTAATTGAATAATTCCCTGATAATATCTTTTGAAAATTTCTTTTATATAAAAAGTTGCATGTTCTTTAGGAATGGAATTGATTAAAAAATGAGATTCTTCATTATAAAAATAAATCTTATTTAATAAAACAGATATTTTGTAAAGTTCCATATTACTAACATTTTCATTATTTGATAACTTCTTATAAATGTTTTGAAACATTTCTTTAACTAACGTAATATAAATTGTATTAGAACATTTATTAGAAATTAAATTAATTTCAATTGTTCTAAAATATTCATATGGTACATTTATTTCCATTCTCTTTTGAATAACTTTCTTTAAGACATCTTTTTTCATTCTATCTCCAAATGAATATAAAATGTCCCCAAAATTTAACGCTGTTCTAACATAATACAATGTATTATTTTTACCAATACTTTCTTCAAATAATTCAATACCATATCTATCATATATTTCTATTTGTTTTTCTGACATTGATCTTCTATTTTCTGAGTACATTAATGGAGATCCATAACCAAAACGATATTTATCTTCAATACTCTCAATATCCCAATAAAAACCATCATTAAATTTGTCTACATTACATTGTTTAGCTATATGATCTATAATTTCACATGAATCAAATGCTAATTGACTTAATAATTCTTTCGAAATCATTTTAAGATTTCTGTATTGTTCATGGACACTGCTCCATACATCACTTCCTCCATATCTTAAACATAACAAAATACAATTTATCATTAAAGAGTTAATATTCTCATCATTACTAAATGTGTCTGTATTTCTTAATTGTTTCATAAAAGAAGTATAATTGCTAATAACTTCACCTAACACAACAGGATCATCTCCATCTATTACATTAAGTAATGGATAATGTTCATTACTTTTCTTTAATACTTCAATAGTTTGTTTAATACATGACAATGTTTTCTCAAATATTTTTGTTGCAATTGGACTTCCAATGAATTTTAAATAGAATCTAAATAAAATATTTTCTTGGAAAATACTAGAAAGGAAGTCATAATTTAATGAATTGGCAATAAAAAAATCTACAACTAACTGAACATGTTCTTCGTTAACATGTGATGTAGTAGAAATAATTGTTTCAGCAAATAATGAATAAATTTTACAAATATCTCTAGAAGTACTATTAACTTTTTTTAAATACTCAAAGAATAAATCATTTCGTTGTTTTGAATTTCCTTTAAAATTTGAATGATCTTTAATAACAGAAAATATCCATCTATGAGCATATTCAGGAATATCAGTTGAAGTTATATAAGGAATAACATATGAAAATTCAACTTGAGAAGTAATTTTTTCAATAATTTTCTTTGCGAAATATTTGTCCTCGATAGATAATTCATTAATTAATCCATCTTCATGAATAATTTCAGATGAAGTAAGAAGATCAGATTGTGGTTGAAGCTCATTTTGAGACAATAATGAAATAGCCATTTTAACTAACTCACTAAAACTTTCAAATAATACAATTCTATCTTTAAAATAATAAAACAATTT